CGTTCAGTGATGTTACTACAGTGAACTTGGTGAAGGGAAGGCGCATTAAAGCAAATACATATGACCACATTTAGGATGGCAGCGAAAATCATTTTATTAAATTAATCGATTATTTTTTTCTTATTTTCGGTTTAATTGTATCGTAGTTTCGTGTTTAATTAATCGATTAGTTGTAAAATAATCGTTAAAATATTTTCAAGAAATATAAGTTCTGAGTTTACTACAATCTATTCGTCGAACATTCTTTTTACTACCTGCATCAGCTTTATTCGGCCCGAGGTTAATTTCAAAGATCCGTTAGCATTTTCCTCAGTAAAGTTGAAATTAGTCAAGAACGTAATCCTACCGGTACGTAAACCTGAGTCAGCTGACACGATCTGTCTTACCAAAGCGCCATGTAAATGAAAACTCAACACCGCAGAATTTTTCTGTAGTTGTAGCCCATAGCGCAGAAATCTGCGGAATTTAGATTTTTCCGTGTCAGCTGATTTCTTCCTTCTATAGATGGTTGCCACTTCGCCAGTTTTGCAGATGGTAAAAAAGTTATAAGTTCCTATCCAAAATACGTTTAGAATATTTAAAATTTACTACTGAATAAGGTTTTTTTTATTGAAAACTAAGTAGTTTATATTTAGCTACGATCTATTATAGCACGAAAAATTGTAGTTGAAAAGGCAAGTTTATGAAAAGGCATTGATTAGTGGCAACACTGTAGTAAGCAACACTGAGGGCTCCTGTAATCGAACAAAATTCTGCGTGTACAGACTACTTTTAAGTATACGTTCTGTGTTCCTGACTAATTTCAGATTAATGAACAGGCATGGGCAGAGAATGAGCACACGCTAAAAGCTCAAACAGTCAACGACGTAACGTAGACGTAGGTTGCCGCAGACACATCTACCTTATGGGATTTGTGTGTTAGCGAAACTTAGCAGCACTTTAGCCTAATTTTTAAGAATCCGGTTAGTCGTTTATAAAGCTTGAATACATTTTCTAAACACAGGCTGACTTCCAAAACGTCAATTGCATTGCATACGTACAAAGTTTAGTGTTCCATAACGCCGAACTACAATTATTTGACAACGTACACTTTTCCAAAACCCTCCGAAAAGTTATCGAAACGCATTGCTAGCGCAATCAGCGCATCAGAAACAAAGTTGATGCTTCGTTTGTTATTGGTTACCATTGGTGTTTTAAAAATGCAAACAGTATCCAAACATTGTATTGGTACGTTTTGGAAGTCAGCCACAC